TAATATGCAAGTGCTGTATTAGTATATTATTATAGTGTTATATTTCAATTTCACAAAGAAACGTACAGTATTTTGTCCAAGCAATAATAAAAGGACACATTTAATTTATAATATGTCTTAAATCTCATTTTGTAAAAAAAAAAGAAGTGTTAATCGAATCGTGAAATCAAAATCGTGAATCGAATCGAATCATGAGTTGAGTGAATCGTTACATCCCTAAATGTTACAAAAGATTTCTATTTCAGATAAATGCTGTTCTTCTGAACCTTCTATTCATCAAATAAACCTGAAAAAAATCTACTCTTTTGTTTTCAACATAATAATAAATGTTTTTGAGCAGCAAATCAGAATATTAGAATGATTTCTGAAGGATCATGTGACAATGAAGACTGGAGTAATGATGCTGAACACTCAGCATTGCATCACAGGAATAAATCACATTTTAAAATATTTTCAAAAAGAAAACAGTTATTTTAAATGGTAAAAACAAAATCAAAATGTTACTGTTTTTGCTGTATTTTGGATCAAATTAATGCAGGCTTGGTGAGCAGAAGAGAATTCTTTAAAAAACATTAAAAATCTTACTGTCAAAAACTTTTGACTGGTAGTGTATGTCAGCCTATAGTTTGATATAAGGTAAACATTAATTTATTTGTGCTGTTTTTTTTTCTTAAATATTGTATAGTTTTATAGGAGGAGGTTTCATAGACTTGGAAACTTCATTTTTCAGAAGTTTTTAGGTACAGACATCTGTTATGGGTGTTCTTGGCAGTTTTTGTGAGGTTTTTTTAAAAAATAGTGTTCATATCGATATCGGAATTATATCGTATCGACCGAAATTAAGAAATATATCGTGATATAAATTTAGTCCATATCGTCCAGCCCTATGTTTACTTGCTTCTCATGTTATGTATGCATTATAATGCCTGACAATGCCTTTATATTGCATTCTAAATACAGGCTTCATAATAAAAATAAGTGATGGTGAGCCTCTTAATATCAATCCGAATAAACAAAGTATTAAACTTTAAACTCTGTCTCGAGAAACATTGTACCAGTGAATTATCAGGGTATTACAGTGATGCTGCTGTTTCAAATATTCCACTGTTTAGGAGTCCTGTGTATCAGAATGCATGCTAAGTCCTTGTTTCCTTCACATATTTTAGGTTGCTGGCACAAAAGCTGGTGTAGTGCGTTTCTTAGGCGAAACCGATTTTGCCAAGGGTGAGTGGTGTGGAGTTGAGCTGGATGAGCCCTTGGGAAAGAACGATGGTGCTGTGGCTGGAACCAGGTACTGTGGCCTGTTCTTACATTTACCCTTTATATACGAAAAGAGTTTTTCATTAATGGATTTGTGTATCATCAGGTATTTCCAGTGTCAGCCCAAGTACGGTCTGTTTGCACCAGTGCACAAGGTGACCCGTATAGGTTTTCCCTCCACTACCCCAGCCAAGGCAAAGACCACTGTGCGGAAGACAGCGGCCACACCATCAGGACTGAAACGCAGCCCCAGTGCCTCCTCCATCAGCTCCATGAGCTCTGTGGCCTCATCTGCTAGTTGCAAGCCAAGCCGAACAGGACTGGTGAGTTACATTCGTCCTCATATGCATACATGTCTTTGGTTACATAACTTTGGCATGCTTAGCTGGGCCAAAATGTGTAATTTCTGGGATATTAGCAGCACCAAAAGGCAACTGCAAAATCATTTTCCAGACTGTGTTTTTCCATCAGCTATTTTTTGGCAAACGTTAGTGTTTGGCAAACTCAAGCGATTGATTTGAGCCAGTTGACAAGCCAGGTCTCAAACAAATAGGGCAATGTTTTGATGGCAGAGTCACATGAACAAATTCACTGATCTGCTGCACTGTTTTAGTGTGCAGCATTTCAGGGAAACCAACTTACAAATGGGTTTCCTAGGCAAATGCCTGTTTTCTACCCAAATAAGGCTTGTTATATCATTTTGAAAATGCCTATTTTGAGTGGAAGCAGAAACAATCTATTTACGTGCATGTCTCTTTAAATGCAAATAAGCTGCTTCTGCCTGCCCCCTTTTCCAGAATAGGGTTGTGCCTTTACAGCTCATACCTCAGATACTCTGCCAAAAAAAAAACATCTGTTTGATTTTGATTATCATGTCTATCACGCTGAAATTATGCGTTTAAAATTCATATCAGTTTAAAATTCTGATATACGTTTTTTTGAGTGCACACATCCGCAGAACGCACACAGAAAACGGCTGTCACACGGCATGTGAGTACTCTCTTTCATGTCTTATTGTGCTTAAACTGTCAAATACACACAAGTTTGTTAAAAACAAACATAAGTTACAAAAACACAGTTGGTTATGTCTGTGAATGTAAACAGATGGAAAGAAATTGCATGTTTATATTAGGGATGTGCGGGTCTAGTCGACTAAACGGTACAGCTCCTACTAGTCGACACTGAAAACAATAGTCGATAACAGGACAGAAAAAACCCCCCATAATTATCATTCAAATTACCATCATTTTATGTTACCATCAAATTACCATTGTTACATTTAAAACATTTTAAATAAGTTAAAATAAAACATTTGAAAAATAATACATTATTTTTAAAAGTGTATCTGGGTGTAAACTACATTTTTACCTCAGACCTCGCATGAGTTTTCTTCGTGTCAGTTGTGGCAAAAATAGGGATGTGCGGGACTAGTCGACTAAACGGTACAGCTCCTACTAGTCGACACTGAAAACAATAGTCGATTACACAACAGAAAAAAAAAACATTATTTTATCATTCAAATTACCGTCATTTTAACATTGCATTTAAAACATTTTAAATAACAAATAAGTTAAAAACATTTGAAAAATAATACATTATTTTTAAAAGTGTATCTGGGTGTAAACTACATTTTTACCTCAGACCTCGCATGAGTTTTCTTCGTGTCAGTTGTGGCTAGCTCAAAAGTGACCATGCGAAAGACGAGCAAGGTGTGGGATTATTTTGAATTAGAAGGAAACGGAAAAGTTTTGTGTAATGTCAAATTGGCTTACAATAACTCTACTGGAGTGATGCATAATCATATTCAATACAGGCACGTAGGCGTTAGCTTAGAGACTAGCCAAAGCCAGCTAATGTCAATCACGTCATTCACTACAGCCCTCCGGTGCTGCGATCCCGTCCGCGCCGTCTATTCCTCTAACGAAGACCCACTTCGGTGGTGGTGCGGGATGTCCAGGCGCTTTCCGAAATCCTGTTGGCTTGCTTTTCGTTATCTCTGCTTGCCTGCGTCTTCAGTTCCTGCAGAGCGTGTTTTTTCAAGTGCAGGAATTGTTAATCGCCTCAGGTCCTGTCTTTCTTTTTGTTCGTTTTGTTTTTAGATGATATAGCCTACATGATGAAGTATGTTTTTAAAAGCCGTTTTAATGCTATTCCTTGATAAAATTTCCTATTGTTTTTGACTTGTGTTTTAATATGTTGGCTAACGTTATATGAAGATGAAGAATTCTGTCAGACTATTGATTGATTTTCCATTGTTCTGCATTTCCCCAGCTGATTTAAAAAAAATAAGCATTGGCTGACGTTGAGTGTGTGCTCTAATTTTATTTTATTATTATTTTTTTTTTAACGACCGCCTAAAATTAAATGATGATAATGCGAGGCAAGCGTATGGCATAATTGTGACCTATTTTTAACGGAATTCATTGAGGGATTTGTGATTCATAGATTAAGTATTTCAAATGTCGGCTATTACACGCACGCACAACGTTTTTTTTTTCTTACCATCTTTTGGGGTTTCTTGCTTTTAGACTAACAAAACTTCCGTTTAAACGACAGATCTATATTAGATCTGTGTATTAAGTGACAACGGTGTAATATACGGTCCCTATACTGTTGTCTAAGCTGTTAATATGACCCAAACAATAAAATAAACAGAAAATCACTCAATGCTCTTGAATGAATCATTTCTGTAGCTCTTATAAGAAGAAATTTCTTACTTGAATGCTGCTTTTAAATGCTCTAGCGTGAAGACAAACATGGCGGATTGTGTGCGGCTCATTCAGGGCGGGGTCTCTGCTAAAACAGCAGTGTCCGTCAACAGTTGTGGGTGGGGCTTGTAAAGTGCAGGTGGATTTTTATCATTATAGGGTGGTTGTGTGGACACACTGCCAACACACATTTATGTTCAAACAACATGTAAAAGTGAATTTTGCATAATAGGTGCCCTTTAAATGGCAGCCTTTTACCATTTGTAATCTAAGCCATTTCACGATTCTGTTTTTTTGATTAATTGTTCAGCTGTAATTATAAAAATGCACAGAATGTGTTAGGTCTGATAGCAGGGTCAAATTTTCCAGCATTCTGCCTTCAGTTTATCTAAACATATAAGGTTCTTCTGCAGTTGTATGGAATCAAAGCCCAGTGTAAATGTAGCTTTAATGGTTCTAAAAATGTTGTGAACACCTGCTTACTTTGTAACTAAGTCTAGCTTTAGAGCGAAGGTCATATCTGAAAACTATATATTATATGAAACAGGCAATACAGTATCTGTAATTTTAAAGATCCTGAATGAATTTCTCTCTGAAGTTGACAGAGACGTCTACAAGGTATGCGAGGAAGATCTCTGGCACTACGGCACTTCAGGAAGCCCTGAAGGAGAAACAGCAACACATTGAGCAACTCCTTGCCGAGCGTGACCTGGAGAGAGCTGAGGTTGCCAAGGCAACCAGCCATGTGGGCGAAGTGGAGCAGGAGCTTACGTTACTGAGAGAAGGCCAGGAGCAGGTTAGACCCAGCTGTGTCTTCTTTTATCTGTTTATTTATTTTTTATCAAGTAAGGAATAATTGATAACAGGCCATTGAATTATAGAAAAATAATGCGTGGTAATGCCCAACACAAAGCTGGTGTTTTTTTTTCTGTTATTTTTTTCTATAATTTTCTTAACTCTTTCCCCGCAAGCATTTTTGAAAAAAGTTGCCAGCCACCGCCAGCGATTTTCATGATTTTCACTAAAATTTGATGGCCTAGAGTTAATCAGCCTATTGTCAGTTACCACACCTCAAGACATTTTTCAGGTTTTTGTCCTTAAAACGGTCTTCTAAATTAGTTTATTACATATTATATCTCAGTGCTGCCTTGCGATTTCTAAACTGTCTTTTTTGAACTAGTAACACAGGATTAAGCCACTGTATGCAGAAGGCTGCAAGGCTCTTTGAAATTATTGAAATCATTTAGCAAAATGCTCTAGAAATATAATGTGGTCAATACCTCAGTTAAACTACTTTAGCCTTTTTTAGTCTTTCTACTTCACAATTTTACATTTAATTCAATGTTTTACATGTCATTTTTGTATTTTGTGAAATGTACTAGTAGTTACTAAGTACAAATTATTTCTACATCAATTTTTTTTTCATTGTAGAAAAATAATTAGCAGCTTAAGACTGGAATACAATACACGACTTTTAAAATCTGAACCGATTTAAAACATGCACCTTGTTGCTAGGAGATGCATGACAAATGAAAACAATGCGTGTTCTAAAATCAGCCCAAAATATATAACATGTTTGATATCCTCCGACTGGATGTATTCATAGTCTGAAGCTAACAAATCAGAGACTGTGACCATCATACACGGTGCGATTTTCTATGAAATCTGTCAACTCAAATCTGAAGACTGGCTCTGACTTTCGGCAACTAAAATCTGCTTCACCAGACTCTTAAGCTGGGCAAAAATTGTGTAGTGTATTCCAGCCTTTAGAATGTCTGTCAGCTCATCCAGATGCAATCATTCCGAGTACTTTTCTGGATGCAATTCAGAAATTAGCTGTAGCCAAATGTGTTTTAAGCTGTAGATACTTTTGAGTGTGTAACAGAAGAGTAGGCAAGTTTTGGACAGCTGATTGATGTTAGAGTTCTTGGACTACTTCATTTATGTTAGTAAGGTTACCATTTTTCAGATGATTACAACATAAGTTGAGCTTATTAACATTAGCCCCTGTTGTTTCCATTTTTTTTTTACACCAAGATAATATTAGCAAGGCATAACCATAACATAAAACAATTTCTTATGGATTTGTGTTGGAACATAACATAAGACTAATTCATGAGTGGTTGTCAATTGATAATAGGTTTTTTTATGTCTGATGCAGATCCGATATTTTGGAAAGCACGCATAACAATTTCTGCAATTAAATTTAAATGTATTTTACCTAATGTTTAATTTATTAGAAATAAATCATTTAACAATGAATAAAATGAATAAAACAAGGTGAACTTGATAAAAAATAAACTGTATTTACACAAAAATGTGAAAAAAGAGAAGCAAACACTGTAAGCAATGGCCGGTTGCTTGAGCTGTTTACAAGTTTACAAATCTTTGAAAAAATGTAGGCTGATCTAAGTTAGTCTAAGTAATGCCGAGTTCACACTGCACGATTTTCAAACTCGTCGGATCGCCGTTGTTTTCACACTGCGTGACTCCAACCAAAAAATCCAGAAAAACACATTATATAAAAGTTAGAGATTGATTTGCATTTCAGTGAGTGAAATAAGTATTTGATCGGACCAACAGCAAGAAGCTTGGTGAGGAGACAACTGGTGGTGCGATTATTCGGAAATGGAAGAAATACACAACAACCATCAATCGGCCTCGTGCAAGATCTTGCCTCATGGGGTAAGGATGATCATGAGAAAGGTGAGGGATCAGCCCCGAACTACACGGGAGGAGCTTGTTAATGATCTCAAAGGGTTAGTTCACCCCAAAATGAAAATTCTGTCATTAATTAATCAGACTTGTTAATGATCTCAAAGGGTTAGTTCACCCCAAAATGAAAATTCTGTCATTAATTACTCACCCTCATGTCGTTTCAAACCCGTAAGACCTTCGTTCATCTTCGGAACACAAATTAAGATATTTTTGATGAAACGTGAGAGCTCTCAGACCCTGCATAGACAACAACGCAACTGTAATGTTCCCTGGTCCAGAAATGTAGTAAGGACATCGGTAAAACAGTCCATGTGTCATCAGTAGCTCAACTTCAGTTTTGCGAAGCTACGAGAATACTTTTTGAGCGCAAAGAAAACAAAAATAAAAATTTATTTAACAATTCTTCTCCCCCGAGTTACGTCTTCCGCCATTTTGGAGAGT